AATTATTTATTTTTTTAAAAAATATATGTTATAAAATTAATTTTTAAAATAAATATATGTTTTTAAATTTTTTATTTTTTATTTATTTTATTTCTTATCTTCTTATTTAAGACTTTATATTTTAAAAAATATTTACAAATAATCATAAATATTCATAGATATATTGCTTATAAAATTCATAGATATTCAATAAATGAATACTTATATTAAATGAGACAAGGCAGGATGGATTACTATTCATCCCCACTTTATCTTATCTCACTTTATTATTATTCATAATTACAATACTGCAAATAAAATTAATTCTTATCCATCAAATGGATTATAACTCTTGATGAAAAATGAAAATCGTAATTTTAAACCATTAAATTATATATTGATTATTAAAATTAAAAGATAAATGTACATCACTTTTAAAGTTGTCATGTAACAATAAATGACTGTTAGAATCGATAATTCATCTATGGTTGCATGATCTAGATTTATACTTTACATTCCTCATAGTAATTGAAAATTTTTCCTTGATATGCTACACAAATGCATGGAGACATAGAAAGATAGCTAACAAATTTGAAAACTAGTAGTTTTTGTTCATTTATTTTCGAATCCAAACCCTCAATCTTTATAACTAACACTTTCAGCCTCATATTTTAAAAATTATAAAAATTAAGGATAATATATATATTGACACCAATTAAAGCTAATATTTAAAATTAAAAAAAAAAAAACAGAAACAAAAATCATTTAGTTATGGGACCGATCGTTTGTCATGGACGCTCTCGGGCTAGATGTCTACCCCATGAGACCTCGTTTAGCCACGTCGTAGGTGGCCACTGGCGAAGCATCGCATATTAATCTCTTTCATGCCTCTCTTATCTCCCTCCTTTGCCCTCTTGCAATCTCTTGTGCCTTTGTAATACATTGTTCAACAATTTTTTTTTTTTCGTCATGGAGTATCCAGGACTGATAGTAATGACTAATCTCCTTATTATATTAGAAGCACTTTAAAAGGTGAAATAGTTGATCCTACACAAGGTAGGATTCGAACTCCTGACCTTACTTAAGCATGGATCAACCCCTATCGCTGAACCACACGTTTTTTAACACTTTTTTAATACTTTCTAAGATTTAACACATTTTGAGCATGTTTGTATTCAAGTCTGAAACGTGAAAAACCACGTTTAACGTGAAAACTATTAATAATAACTTTCACGTTAAACGTGATTTTTCACGTTTCAGACATGAATACAAACACGCTATTTGTTCAACAAATAATCAATTTTTATTCTTAAGAAATGTTAGGAATACACTTTCTAACACTCTTTTAAATACATTTTTTTAAATTAATTAATTAAAAGTTATTAAAATATATAAAAATTGAAAATCACATATCTTATTTAATGATTTTATCTCCTGATTTTGTAATCTTCATTTAAATTAACTGATAATTAAAAAATATTTAAAAAATATTGTTTAACTACGTATATGGAGTCATGTATAATTTGCTCACCTACTATACTACCAACCCCTTAAGGTTTGCATACTAAATATGATTACTTGTATTTTTATTCTAAAGGAATATTGAAGACTTTGTGTAAACATTGCGGAGTATTATTTTATTGCACATTGGTAGTTGTGTCACAATTAATCATTATGTTTAAGAAAAAATATTTGTTTTTTATCAACAACCTACCGTTATTGTTTCCTTCTTCATGCATTCAAAGTTCTAGATGGATAAATTGTTAGTTATTAATAGTATTAAGAACAAGCCCAGATGAAATAATTATTTGTAGATTTGAATCTTATTTCTTTTAGAGATTCCCGTTATAATTAATATAATATTAAGTTGAGCAGTCAGCAAGAAAAGCTTGTAGCTCTGACAAGGAACTGATACAATCACAAAGATAATCCAATCTCATATTCAAGCATTTTATTTGTTCTAGTTCTAGATCTCTTCAATACAAATTATCTCTTCACTTTGCCGTGAAATTATTCTAATGACAAGTTGCAGCTATACTAGGTCACGCTTTTAAGCAAGTCAATTAGCTAGTACTTCATCCACCTATGATGAATACTAACTATTACAGGAGATATCCATAAAATAAAATAAACCTATATATTAATATTTTAACAATTAATATGTACATCACACATCACAGATAGAGAGTTTATCTAATGTACTAAGATTGACCACATGGCAGAATAGGTAGATAGATGAGAAATTATGTTTGGTCTTTATTATTATTATTATTATTGTAACTTTTTATTGATAAATTTTTAATGACTTTTTATTATAAAAAATGAGAATTACAAATAGACTATCAAATTATGTTTAAATAATTAAAATTAAAAGAAAATATACATAATTTATTTTAAGTGGGTTTGTTTAGTTCAAAAAAAGAAAAAGAAAAAAAAGAAAATAGCACGTATCAGTTAAGTCAACAGTAATTTTCATTTGAGAGCTAATTAATTACCAGTAATAATGTTGTACCTTTTTGTTTTGTCCTAGCAGGTTAGTGTCAAATTATACGCCGATTTATTTTGAATCATAATTAAACGTTAATTTGTCTTGACCAACATAATTTGCGATATTTGAAATGTCCCCGGCCGTTAGAGCCAATGTTCCCATATAATAAATGTCCCATACATGAAACGTCTTTGAATCATAATCAAAGCATGTTCCCAATTATAGGCAATGACATGCCTGGGGGCCAATTGAGATCTACATAGATAGAAAGAATTTTGGGAATAATTTATCGTCATTCAAAATAATTTTTAATATTCCCGTACGTTTGGGTCCAAAAACTGAAACACTGATGTAAGAATTAAGATAGAGACCCAAAAAATTATTCATTAGACTCATCAGTGTATAGGTATATATATATATAACTTTTATTAAATATTTTACTGGTTAATAATTTTATATTAAATATAAATTTTATAAATTTAATTGTTAAATTGAAAGTTTATTATTTTTAAATTATATATACAAAATTTTATATTAATTTAAAATAATTTAATATTTTATTCTTATAGTTCATATTTTATTATATTTTGAAATGTATATATTACGTTAATTTTGTTTCATAAGAATCAAATATCAAATCATCTTAGATTAGTATAAAATTTTGTATATATAATTTAAGAGTAAAGAATTTTTAATTTAAGGTTGGATTTATAAAATTTATATTTAATATAAAGTTATTGAGCGGTGTAATATTTAGTAAAAATTACATCGGTGTCATTTGAATTTTTTTTTTCTCTCTCTATATATATAGAAAGTTATAATAACACGATGTAACTAAAGTAATCAGCAAGAGGGCGCAAATCATAAGGATGAAATAAATAAATAAATAAACTCGTAGCCGCATATATTCCCATATAAAATTTATTATAAATTTTAAATATATAATTAAATAAATATTCACTTAATAATAAATCAGATAGTAAAGTATTCATATTTGTAATTATACTAACACTTTAAAAATATTAAAAATACTCTTAATTATGTTTTTAAATCATTTTATTTTGGTTTTCTTTGGTTTTGATCTTTTTATTTAAAATTTTACATTTTTTTTCAAATATATACACTACAAGAAATGTTACTGACATACAAAAAATATTGTTATAAGTATAATATATATATATATATGTATATATTTATTTGACATATAGTTACACACATTTTTAATATTAATTTTTAATGAGATTTAACATATTTTGTTTGTCATTATAGTTTATAT